TGTGTGAGATCGTGACCTGAGCAGAAATCAACAATCAGACCCTCAACCGACTGAAGTCACCCAGGCACCCCACTCCTCCCACTTTTAGAAATCACAGCATGGGGAAAATTCAAAGAACCAAGGACATTCAATTAAAAAAAGACAACGCAGGGGCGCCTGGGTGGCTTAGTCGGTTAAACGTCCGACTTTCGCTTAGGTCATGATCTCGCGGTTCGTGGGTTCGAGCCCCGCGTCGGGCCCTGTGCTGACTGCCAGCTCGGAGCCTGGAGCCTGTTTCAGTCTGTGACTCCTTCTCTCTCTGACCCTCCCCTGCTCACGCTGTCTCTCTCTCTCTCCTAGAAATAAATAAAACATTAAAAAAAAAAAAATTTTTTTTAAATAAATAAATAAAAAAAGACAACGCAGGTATTACATCTCTTAGGTTCTATCAAAATCAAGCAATCACACTTACTTTGTATGCAGGTCTAACCAGATGTACAAATGGAAGGCATGGCACGCTGTCCTGTCCAAGCCTCTCTTCTATTTCTAGGGGAAGGTGAAAACTGGAAGATGGAGTCTAATCTAGGACTGATACTCCCCCCAACACTGCTTTCCATGTTCCAAGTTTCTGGGAAGACTACTTGAATTAGTGGGACATCCGCACAGGCCACTAAAAGTTAGCTTCAAACAGAAATATACATTTTAACAATATTCCAAGAAAGTCTTTAGAAATCTCAGAAGCATTTGCATTGACTATTCCAAACATAAATTTTGTAACAAACCAATAATAATCTACAAGAACAAGTTAGTTAGCACTCATATACAACATAGTACTCTACCCATAAAATGCTTTATGCCTATAAAATGAATAGATTTCTCTTACTTGGCTTTAGAAACACAACCAGGAAAGTAAAAACTCATTAATTCAACAGAACTTTTCCCATTCTTACTGATGCAAGGGAAATAGTTTAAGAACTAAAAAATTGTAAATCAAGGACTACTAATGATTAAGTGTCCCAGACACTGTGCTGCATGCTTGGCCATCTCATTTAATACTCCCAATAGCCCTATACAGGAGTTTTTATCTTACATGGGGGAAACTGAGGCTCACAGAGGTAAAGTTACTTGTTCCAGATCACACAACTAATACATGGTTCAAAGCTTAGCTGACCCTCAAGTTCTGGTCTGCCTGATTGCAAATTAGGGCTTTTCCTCACACTGTGTCAGAGGCTGTCCGTAAAACCAAGTCAAGTATTTGTGGTAATATAAATACTTCACAGATGATAATGATTTGGAATCAAACACTGGGAGGCTGGGGAGTGGAGAGGAGGACCTAACCCCAGGCCACCTGGCATTTGGTAGGTAAACAGGATTTTAAAATAAACTTTTTTAATACTTCTACGGATCCTACCATGACCAGTGCAAATAGCTACCATTGTTTATACCCTGCTTTCTTCCCCTTACTATTCTTAAAATATGTTTAAAGGGGTGCCTGGGTGGCTTAGTCGGTTGGACATCTGACTCGCTTTCAGCTAGGTTTATGATCCCAGGGTACTGAGATCAAGCCCCACTTTGGGTCTGGCTCCATGCGTGGAGTCTGCTTTGGATTCTCTGTCTCACTCTACTTCTGCCTCTCTCCCGTGCTGGCACACTCTCTTTTAAAAAAAAAAAAAAAAGAAAAAAAAATTAAAAAATCCAATCTCTCCTCCCCTGGAGCTTGATAAGGAATACTGAGTGAAACTTAAGAAACAAAACAGATACATATAGGGGAAGAGAAGGAAAAATAAGAGAAAAACAGAGAAGGAAGCAAACCATAAGAGATTCTTAAATGCAGAGAACAAATTGAGGGGTGCTGGAGGGGTACTGGGTGGGGGGATGGGCTACCTGGGCACTAAGGAGGATGCATGTTGAGGATGAGCACTGGATGTTGCATGTAAGTGATGATGGATCACTAAGTTCTACTCCTGAAACCATAATTACCCTATGTTAACTAACATGGGTTTAAATAAAAATTTAAGGGGCCCTGGGTGGCTCAGTCGGTTAAGCATCCAACTTCGGCTCAGGTCATGATCTCACCGTTTGTGGGTTCGGGCCCCGCATCGGGCTCTGTGCTGACAGCTCAGAGCCTGGCGCCTGCTTCGGATTCTGTGTCTCTCTCTCTCTCTCAGAAATAAATAAAACATTAAAAAAAATTTTTTTAAATAAATAAAAATTTAAAAATAAATAAGTAAATCTGGATAAAAAAAATACTTAAATGTGTAGTTTTAGTAGGTACCATTTTCAGGGATCTCAATTCTTGTTACCTCCAAGTTCCAATCTAATTCCCAGAATTGATGGTTTTAGGGTGGAGCACTCAAAAGCACTATATAGTCAGAAATGTAAAAATCCTATTACTCTCCACTTCATTGCCAATGGGCAAATAAAAAAATTAAAACCCAGGAAAGAAAATTTAGGAAACTACAGAACAAAACACTCAAGATCTAGTACAACCAACTCTTGGTAATTTGGAATTGTGATCTGATTTGCCTTTGGGGCAACAATGCAGTCCCAGGCTCTGTCACTGGCTGCTGGGGGCATGTCTCTATGGGTCGAGAAAATAAGGCAGTAGCCTAACAGTGCTTCCTGACAACAGCTCTGGATATTACATACAATACAGAAGACACCTACAGGGAAATGTATAATTATTAAAACCAAGCTTTTAGATTACCACTGTATTTCAAACCTGCTATTCTTTCACCTGTGACCCAAGTGGTTTACAGTTGAGACCTCTTACTAGCTAAGGTGTTTTAGACTAAAGGGAAGGTCCCTTGGTACAAAAGTACCAAACAAAGCACTGCAAAACTGGCTTCCCAGAAGCCACAACCTTCTACAATGCCCAAGCACTGTACCGGAACATAAGCACAAACAGCACTGAGACACCGATGTGAAACATAACTCAAGTAACAGTGCAAATCATCACTGAAGGTTACCAACCAGCCTACCTACCACCTTGGAGAACCCGGAACGGATCACTCCAGAGCAGGTGAAATTAACGAAACAACACTGAATCTGGAATAGGAAAGCTTTGGCCTAGTCCTCCCTGCTACATGTCTGGTCCTCTGTGAAGTTTCTAGACTCACTCCAGACATACTGTCTACATGAACACACAAATTCATTGATAGGTTTTTGGAACTACCTTTAGGAAATGAGTAGCATTTCCCACGTATTTTTAATATGAATATGAAGTTAAAAGGAAAATTCGAAGATCAGATGTAGAGGATTTTTAACAGTAAAGTGACTTTTCACTAGAAAGCTTAGAAAATGTAGAGTGCTAGCTATTCTCTCATACCAGTGTTTGGGACACATCTGGACAACTGGCTAATGTTTTCTGTCTTTTGATGTTTGAAGTAATGAGTATCTTAAGAGAATTTTGATCACTTGCTACTGTAAAGGCACTCCAATTGTCAAAATGGGACATCCACTTAAGTCTGACTCAGACACCACAAGTCACCAGGGCAGCTAGCAAATCTATCAAAAGGCAGAATAAGGAGGGGACCCCCCAAAACAACCCCAAAACCAAACACCAAATCCCAGATTCAGTATCAACTACAACTCCTTGGATCTGCCTTAAACCACTCTGTTTAAGAGTTTTCCTGGGCACTTTTAATGTTTCTTGAAACTAGAAAAAAAAATCCAGGTTATTAAATTTCAACAGGCCTCTAAGTGCAGATTTGAGGTCTATGAGCCTGCCCCAAAGGCAACACTTTTACATGTTCATCCAACATTTATTTCTTTTTTATTAGCAAATAAAATATTCTTTGAAATACCAGTTAGCTCCACCTTCCCCAACTCCCATATTCTAGTGTCATGAGTAATATTAAGTACACTCCCTCACCAAAACAAGCCCTTGTTCGGGCCAGTCCCAAACCAAGGTATTAAAAGATCATTCTTCACCAAACAAAGATACTTTTGGGACGGAAACCCTGGAGACTGGACACCTCAGTAGGTACTATTGTGGTGTTATCCTGGGAAAGTAATCCTTTCTGTAGAAGTACACAAAGGCCAAGTGTGTCCTTGACAAATAGCAAGATGTTTATAGCCTGTCTTCTAAATTCTGCATGAGGGTACAAAAAAAAAATAAAGAAAGAAAAAAGAAAAAGAAAAAAATCCAGTGCGGATTCCTGAAATTAAATACCGTAAGTTTCTTATTCACTAGTGAAGTATTTCTCTTCCAGAGGAGGGGTCTCGATTATATAGTCTGTATAGGACCAGAGTGTGAACGAGGCTAATCGCGATTCCTTCTCCAGGTCAGAAGGAGAAACTAGGGAGAAATAGAATTTTCTGCCAGCAAGCACGTAGCACTTGTCAATAAGGCATTCTGACCCAGGCCACGGAAAAATAAAAAATGTTACTATGTATTTTCTTTTGCTTGGCCTTCCCCTCTCCCGGCGTGAATCGGACCACTCCCGGGCTCTAGCCGCCAAACTCCTGCCTCACACGTAAGGGAAGGGAATCAGCCCTCTCTCGCCCTGCCGACCTTACCCAGTCGGCTGGCCTCCTGACGAAGCGGGCCAGAGCACCTGCAGCCCAAGCAGAGCACAGGAGGCCGGGACCGAGGCCCTGGACCGAGACCCGAACCGGGCAGACTACGGCCCCCGCCCCGCGCAGCAGCAGAGCCCCGTGCTGGCCCTGCCTTACTGGGGGATGGGGCTGGAAGCTGGAGCTCGTCCTCCGAGGCACTCGGTGCCGCTGCGGCCTGGCCTTGCGGCCGAGGCAGGGGAAAGACGACACGTCGGCGGCGGGGGGAGACATAGGGACGGATCTGCGCCGCGACCAAGACGCGGGGGAGCCTAACCGCCGCCGCCCCCTGCCCGAGCGCGCCATTTCTAGGCCCCGGCCCTCCAGGCGCCTCTACCAGGCCTCCACGGGCCAAGCCGGGCCCCCTACCGCCCGCCGTCCCGGGTGAGCGCGGGAAGGCCGCTGCCCCGGGGCCCCCGACCCCGCCCGCGCCCGGGGGGGTGGTCCGCGCACGCCCGCCTTACCCTCTGCCGCCGCCGAAGCTGCTGTAGGCCCGATCGTCGTAGGTATCGAAGTCCGCCATTTGCCGTCTCCGCTCCGAGAGGAACCAGGGTGAGCGAGGAAGGACCCCGCAATATAACTCCCCACCGCCCCGCCGCCGGGGCTGTCCGCCGCGCCGCCTGATCGCAAATCGCACGCACGCGCGCGCGCGCGCACGTACGCCGCGCCGCGCCCGGCCTGGGCCGACGGGCCGCTGCTGGCCCGGCGCGCTCTGCGGCCCACGTGGTGAGGCGGCGCGTTGGCGGGACGTCGGGGCTCGCGCCCCCGCCCATTGTGTGCTGGCCCCCGGGCTTCACCCGCAGCAGCCTGCTGTCCCCGCCCCGCCCCGCCCGTGCGCGCCGGCCGGGCCCGCCCTCGGGAAGCTCGGGTGGCCGGCTCCGCGCGCTGTGACTGTCTCTTCGCGGGCTGGGCACGGCTCCTGCGCCTGGCCCGCTGCACTGCCTGCTGTCGCTCTGGCAGGACCCCCCCTCCCCCCCCCGGAGAAGTGCTCCGCTTGACCCCACTCCGACACCCACACCAAAGTAAGGGCCACCTCCTCCAGGGAGGACCCCCGGAGCTGGGCACTGGCTGAGAATGAACAGGGACGAAGGGCCCGGAAGGGGTGAGATTGGGGGTCAGGATGCGAGCATGCGAGGCGATGCGGGGGGCAGCTAGGAATCCTGACTTCTGCTGTCTGTCTACACCGGGCTTCGGTGTTGTTGGAGGGCGCGGGTGTGGAGATGAGAGCGTAAGTTGCTGAGCTAGCAAGAGTCGGCGCACCTCGCTTTTGCAGAGGTCATTGCGCCGGGAAAGAATTCAGCACCACCGACTTGAATTTCATCTCTCTAGCAAAGCTTGGATATGCAATGAGAACTGATTACAGTGGTAGTTTCTCCGGTTTGTGATCTAGACACAAGTAAAAGAAGCTTAGAATTTTTGCAGTCTCTGCCCAGTACTTTTGCATTTAAGCAATGTTTGCTACTTTATCCCAGTGCTGAGATTGACAGAGCAACTATGAAGTCATTTTTTGCTTTCATCTCTTATTTACAAGTGATAAAGCCACTTTGCTATCGGATAGACCCCAAGTAACTTGGGCTCCACCTCTTACTGGCTGTGTAACTTCTAGCATATTACTTTAGTGTCTCAGTTGTATCATTTATAAAAGGGGAGGATATCACCTACTTCCTTAATATTGTAAAGAGTAGATGAAGACATTTTGGTAAAATAACTGGTGCACGATAATCTGTTTTGAGCACCTGTCTCCTAAGTGTCTAATGTCATTGTGGCTTTTCGGTTTCTTCTCTCCTTGCCCACCTTGAACTTGGACCCTCCCTCTGCCCCATAACTCCATTATTCTAAAGACGTACATAAATGCACTTGACTAAATGAAAACCTTATTATTATTCTTGCTTATTTTCTTCCAGTTTTATTGAGACCTTGACATTTATCCTTGAATGGCCTTACATTTTTTTTTTATTACAAAGTCTGTCAGCCCAAAGTCACCTCAAGGTGGGATCTGGGAGGACAGGAATTCATATTGAGAGTTATCTGTCATCCCCCGCGGGGCCCTACATGAGGGAGGAGGGTGTAATTTATCATTCATGACGTAACAAGAGGGAAGGCTTCCAGAAAGGCGGATGGCTGGGGCTCTTCCAGTACTAGGACCATCCATGGATCACCCCCTCATGCCAGACTTAATCCTCCTTTCTGTACCCAGTCAGCACCCAGGGCCAGCCTTGGGCCACACTCCCGACTAGCAAAAACCCTTTCCCTTCTTTTTGATTCTCCAGCACAAAGCCTGCCTTCCACTCAGGACCAGAGATTGACACCAACCCTAGAAAGCTCCATACTCTTGGCAAATGCCTCCCTGGCAAAGTTAGATGCCCAGCCTCCTGAGGTTGTCCTCATGAGCTTTGCTCCTGATTTGCTCCCTAACTCCTTCCACAGAGTGCACATCCCAGTCTTTACCAGTTCCCATGAGTCCGGGGGTGGGGGTGGGGGCGTCTCCCAAAGGCCCAACTCAGATGCCACTTTCTCTGGGAACCTTTTATGCGGTGGTCGGGCCTGGGCATTGCATTTCACACTTCCAACTAGCTGTGTGACCTCAAGCAAATTGTGTCAACTCTCAAGTTCTTTGTAAAACAGGAATTAGAGTCATTGTGATAGCGGTTTGGAGTACACAGCTATTTTTTTAAACTTTTCTTTATAACGCTTTTTATTTATTTTTGAGAGACAGAGCACAAGTGGGGAAGGGGCAGAGAAAGCGGGAGACACAGAATCCGAAGCAGGCTCCAGGTTCTGAACTGTCAGCACAGAGCCCAGCGCGGGGCTTGAACCTTCAAACTATGAAATCATGACCTGAGCCGAAGTCAGATGCTCAACCGACTGAGCCATCCAGGCGCCTCAGTACTCAGCTGTTTTTAAGTCTTGAAATGTTTTGTTGGTGTGATATTGTTAACTTATGTAAAATAATTTGAGTGTGAGTAATTTTTAGGTTGAGAGTAAGGTCAGTGATTTAAATAGTCAATTTCTGTGAAAAGGCGTACTGATACTCTACAGATCTGTACAGTCCGCTCTTGGGTGAATCTCAGTGAGCATCTGTGTTGAGCAATCGCAAAGCTTCTGTTACCAGCAAGTTACTCTAGGTCAGAGATTTTCCATACGAGTATGAGTATGAGAAAAATTGAAATTGAGTCATGCAATTCTCCCATCTATACATGATGAAAATAAAGAAGAAAACAAAGTACTGAATACACTTTCTTTGTAACCAGCACTGAAGCTCACTAGCACTAAAAACATGCAGACTTTGCCTCTCCCTCTCTGCCCCTTCCCCGCTTCCAGTGCCCTCTCTCTCTCATTCAAATAAATAGACATTAAAAAAAAAACTAAAGGGGCAGCTGGGTGGCTCAGTCTGTTAAAGTGTCTACTTCAGTTCAGGTCACGATCTCATGGTTTTGAGAGTTCGAGCCCCGCATCAGGGTCTGTGCTGACCGCTCAGAGCCTGGAGCCTGCTTCAGATTCTGTCTGTCTCCCCCCTGCCTGTGCTCTGCTCTCTCTCAAAAATAAATAAACATTTAAAAAAACGGGGGTGGTGGGGAGCACCTGAATGGCTTGGTTGGTTGAGCATCTGACTTCGGCTCAGGTCATGATCTCAAGGCTTAAGAGTTCAAGCCTCTCAAACATTTAAAAAAAATTAAAAAAAAAAAAAAAAGGGGGGGGGCTCCTGGGTGGTTTAGTCGGTTAAGCCTCCGACTTTCGCTTAGGTCATGATCTCGCGGTTTGTGGGTTCGAGGCCTGCGTCGGGCTCTGTGCTGACTGCCAGCTCAGGGCCTGGAGCCTGTTTCAGTCTGTGACTCCCTCTCTCTCTGACCCTCCCCTGCTCACGCTGTCTCTCTCTCTCTCTCCTAGAAATAAATAAAACATAAAAAAAAAAAATTTAAAAAACAAAAAAAAGAGTTCAAGCCTCTCAAACATTTAAAAAAAAAATTAAAAAAAAAAAAGGGGGCGCCTGGGTGGCTTAGTCAGTTAAGCGTCCGACTTTCGCTTAGGTCATGA